ACTGATTTTAATTGAAGACCAAAATTGTTGTTTTTCGCTCCTATCTGAAGTTATTCTTATGTTTAAATCTAATAAAATATTGTTTATTACAAAAAATATTTAATCTTGCAAATTTTATTATAGATGGTCACTCAATGGAACAATAATTTAATTTGGATTTCGTGAGTATTTTGATTTTTTAAATCAATTAAAATAATTTTGAATTTTTTTTCATGGTTATGATGATCTCATAGTTCAACTGATTTTAATTGAAGACCAAAATTGTTGTTTTTCGCTCCTATCTGAAATTATTTTTATTTAGAAATTAATATAAAAGTTTTTAATCACAAAAGATATTTTATTATAGAATTTTGTTACAGGTTTCTCAACAACAACAAAATTTAAATTTCACATATTTTCAAAGAAATCTTTTACTGTCTTTGTAAGTATTTTTTCGAAATAATTTTGATTCAAACAAAATGTTTTATTGGTACTTTTAAACTCTATTATATGATGAAAAATTATATATTTGAATAATTAATGATATACACATTATTCGTCACTACCGCTGAAAATAGTTTGACATAATAAAATTGAATATCTATGAACATTCACAAATAATCATCCTTACACAAAATTTATTTATTACAGGTGGAATAATATCTGATCTTATTTTTCTTTTATCAACATTCCTCGCAGAAAATATTAAAGAAATTTATGTAAGTTTTTTTTATAGACTATTGTTTTAATTACCTTAATCGTTTCAGTCCCAAATAATATAGAACTCATCAGATTTCTTATTAAATCACTCGAATGGTGTAATCAACTCTTTACTTTTTTAATTCGTTCCAGTTGTATTATTATAAAGAATTAAAAAAATCGCAATGTTCTAATTTTTTGTATATAAAATTAAAACAGTCTTTTTTCTTTATTAAAATAACAAAAGACGAGTTTTATTTTTGTTTTCAGTAATGAATGCTGTATCGCGTTGCTTTAGTATTTCTAATTAGCCTTGGGACCTAAATGATTATTATATAAATTATATGATGATAAGTAAATATCGTATAAATCTATGAAGACTTTATTATTAGCTCTAACTGAATATTGGATGAAATAACATTATTACCTTACAACCAAAGATCTGAAAAATTATAAATAAATATTTTTTACTTTTTAGATTTACCAAAAACATTTCACATCAAAAAGGGGAACTATTTTATTTATAAGATTTAACACTTTCGGTGAAATATTGTTTAATTTATCTACATGTAACATATTATAAATTTAAGATTTCTATCTTATATGCGACTGTGATGTATTTGAGACGATTAAAATGCATTGATTTTGTTTAAGATTCAAAAGAAAAAATAAAAATATTTTATACAAAATGTGTCGAAAAAAAATGTTTTTTATGTATTTATCACCCATTTGTATGCGTTAACTTTTTGTTTTATTTTATTAATTAGTATGGTATGCATAAAAAGTCACAAATTTTATTCATTAACCATTTCTGAGAGATTTTTTTTTTACTTTTTGATCTTTATAAATGATTGCGTGCAAACGAGATAAAAACGCTGTCAGCCTTTTGAAATTTCGATATAAATTTTAATAGCCTTTTTTGCACTAAAATAATAGTTGACTTTATACTATCTTACTAATTTACATCCGGAATAGAGAATAAGAATTAAATTAATTTTAAATTATGTTATTTATAATAGAAGTCTGGATGTAACAAAATTTAGGATTCTTAAGATAAAAAATGACAGAGAATAAAGAAGATGAAAGTATTTAAAACTAATTTATTAATATTATTTTATTTTCGTTCGAATTTTTTATCTAAACTGGTCCAATATCCTTGACATTATCAAGTTGAACAAATGTTTTCTTTACAAAAATGATCAGTAAATTTTAAGAATATCCTCTTATTTGCATAGCAAAAGAAAAAAAAATAAGTGCATAATTTTAGGAACTTTCCAGACCATTAAATCTGGTTTAATGACCAGTGCAAAGTTTGAGAGACTCATCAATTTTGTAAAAAACTAATTGATTATTTTAGATCTTTCTGATTATTAATTTTTTGGAAATTTTTTCTTTTTATTCTTTTATAAATAAAAAATTATTGAATTTATAGAAGATGTAGAACTAGAAAATCAATTATTTAGTTCTACAACATTGAAAATAATTATTTTTCAAAATTTTAATTATAAAATATATTAGAGCAAAATTTCCATTATTATTAATTATTATTTTATAAATTTTTGATATCCTTTTTATAAAACTTTCCTCTAATTTTAAATTAAAATTTATTTATTTACAATTATTATCTTTATTTCGGAAACTAGTCGAACCAGTTTATTTATTAAAGTATATCCTAATAGTTTAAACATATTATACATAATTGAAAGAGTCATGTATAGAAAGTATGTTAAAACATTTTAATTTAGTTGGAAAATTTGTCTACAAGTCATCACTGATGTACAAAACTTTGTATTATAATAAAAGAAAAAGTTCTTAGAATTAGATACTTTATTTTTAGCAACAAAATCAAACTTTATGCGCAATAAGTATTCGAATAATGATTACAAAAATATATTTAACTTAACCATTTGTACAAATACAGTCAACCCTAAATAAAATAATGGATTTTTTTCAAAATTATTGAATGTATTATAATCGTATGAATTGTATATGTTTATAGTAAGGAAAGTTCATGGAACTCGTTACGATAAAATCCTTGTGTGTGCGATCGTGCGTTACGTGGCTATTGTAAAACACTTTCCTCTGTATTTGGACGATCGCCAAGGTCTTTCCTTTGAACAGTGTATCTTGTAACATAGGTATGTCTTCGTACATGGGTCTATTATGGAATTGTCATGATACCTTCCACCACCATGATACCTTCCTTGGAATGAAGAAAAAGGAGAAGAAGAAGAAGCTAAGCTAATGTATACACAAAGGTATTGCTAGCCCATAGATAAACGATTAAACAATAGAACACCACAACAAGTAACAACCCTGTCTTGACAAAGAGACACCTTACCTTACCATTTTATACCTAAGCTAAGATACGTTAACGTTAAAGTTAAGACACGCACACATTTCACATCACGAACGATTCGTGCGTCCTCATGCATTGATCAAGCCGTGGATGACGTCGACAGAATGATCTGGTCGAGGGTATATAAAGCTATCCACCAAAATGAAAGAGCATCATTCGGTCCTAGTTCACCAGAGTAGCAGACTCCCAAATCCTCTAAGTAGACATCATGAAGTACTTTGTTGTAAGTATGAGAATACATCAACACAATTATCAAATTAACGTATAATTAAACTTATTTTATATATTTTTAATTTTAATTTGAATGTTAATAATTAACTATAAACGAATTTTGTCAATTGAATACATTTTTAGAATTCGAAGTATTTTAGGAATTTTATTGTTTTATTAAGATTGAAAGAAGCTTACAATAGTAATGAATATATAGAATTACTAATTGGATATAGAAATGTTATTTTTAAATATTTTTTATTATTCTTTTAATTGACCTTTTCTTTCTGAAGATATTTAACAATCACAAATAAAAGTTATAAGTTATATCTTTTTATTTAAAAATTAAACAGAATCTAATATAAAAACCTTATATAAAAACTTGTATCTTTTTCAAATTTTAACCTTTTTTTGACAAATAATATTTTTATATATTGACGATAATATTCAAAAATTCATTCATCTCCAATAAACTACATCTCGACCATTAATTTATCAAATAAAAATATTCCCTAACTTTCGTACATATTTCCATTTCAGGCTGTGGTTCTTTTGGCTGTGTTTGCTGTAGTTTCAGCGCACATACCTGCACTCAATGATAAAATTTCGGAAGAAAATAAACAATCAAATATAGAAAAAAGATCACTTGAAGTTAAAGATGGGGAAATAGATTTTGTTTCTGAAGCTGAGGAAGGATCTAAAAAATTGACTGAACGAAACAAAAGAACTGTACTCTATACAGCACCAGTTGCCTACACTGCTTATTCCTCACCGTATGCTTATGCCCGAAGTTATGGCTACCCTTACGTTGCTTCCCCTTATGTTGCTTCCCCTTATGTAGCTTCCCCTTATCGTAGTTACCCTTACGTCTACAACAGCCCTTACTACTTTTAAATTAACCCCTAATATGAACATACGAATATTGTGTTCATAATAATCATGTAAAAAAAAACCTAACTTTGGGATAACACGACATGGCATATCATAAAAAGTGTATATTGTTCTTCTTATTTCTCATTAGATTCCCTTAATGTGGCGAATAAAGATCTACTTTTTATAAAATTAAGGATTAAGCAAGCTAATTGATAATGTATGTAGTTTATATAAATACAAACGGGTATATCAAATTTGTATTATCTAATATCCTTCTCTCCCTGTCGTTTGACAAATGAAATTGTTGAAAAATTGCAATACATTTTCTCTACTATATTTATTTATTTTTATCTTTTTGTTTTACAGTAAAAATTATGTAAAACAGCGTATTCCTTATAATTTATATCGAATCATTACGATTTTTCATTTAAATTTCTTTTGAAATTTTATCTTAAAAAAGTGAGTCTCTTTTAGAGGAACATGAATTTTGTAAATATGTTTTGCAAACAAAAATACTCGAAACAAATGAGAATCGGTGAAAATCAATTTTCACTGATAAATTATATTAATTTGCGAGATTTGAATAGAAAACCACGTGCTTATCGCATGAATACATCATAAATTAATAATTTATAATATCCATTGTGTTTGGTTTTTCATGGATACGTGTGTATTTGTGGTACGTGTATGGTAGAGTTCATCATGCATGTATCTACGGTATTATCTTGAACACGAGAGAAACATAATGAACTCAAATCACGACGTATAATACAAGCGGAAACTCTCTGACATCATGAGACAAACATTATTCCTAATCGCATTGGCACGATCAATAATATCATCGATGAAATCTTCTTTTAAGATGATGATATAACATGAAGCTTTTGTTTTAATGATAATACCTTAAAGTGTTATAATAAGAAATAGGCCGTGTTCTCGTTTTTAGAGAAAGAGGGTGAAAGTTTCGAGCGTGCTTAGCGATGTGTCCTAATTACTTCTTTTATTATAATTTATGCTATTGTATTTTATGTATACAATATATAAATATATATATATATATATTATATATTTATAATATTTGAATAATTCGAATTTGTTGTATGTTATAAATAAATATATTTTCTCTTTTCTTTTTTCTGTAGGAACGTTTTGAAAAAATATTGGCCAATGAATATGCATACAATTAATATTATTAAAACAATAAAATAAACATTTCTTTATAGTAAATATTATTATTTTTATTCACTCAATTTTTATTTGCAAATATATTTTTGAAGAATTTGAAATAAAATTTGAAGAAAAACTTTCGCAGACTATTTGTAAAAAGATGATATTCCTCTACGGTCCGATTCACACGTAATCTTATGTTACACAATAAGAATAAATCCCTACGAATGAGAACTTATTCCGTATTCTTCGAGACTGAAGACTTGATAGTACTTTCACTGGGACACTGAAAAGTTGCGCGTGATGAGAATCAGACAAAACTGTTCAAATTCGCGCCACATTATCGCTGAATGTATTCAAGTTTTTTGTCGGAAGTTGAGAGGGAGGTTATTCATTTCTTACGTCTTATAAATTTCTTCTCGGTTGAAGGCCATTTATTCAGGAACGTCTACCTAATATGAAGATTAATAAACATCTAAACGAATAAATTTGTTCATTCATTTGTTATTTCACTTATCCATCAAATTTAAAAAATTTAATAAATTTAGTGCATTTAATTATGTATTTTAAAAAAATAAAAAAACAAAAATTTCTTTATAAGTGAATTAATGTGTGCACGTGTGCGTGTGCGTGTGTGTTTTTGTTTATTATTCGTTAGAGAATAAAAAGGAAAAATTCGACAAATAGATTTATTCTACATCGATATGTGTAACACCAAGAATTTGTAACAGTATTGCTTAAGTTTCGATCGATGAAAGCCAGTAAGAAAGTCTATTGTAATTCGTGAATGGTCGCGACCCGACTGTATTTATATATGTGCAGGTATGGCTGTGGTTTTAGTCGGTGCTAGTCTGTTCATCCTCATAAGAATTAAATTCCCGACAACGGTCTTCCGATTAAATGCCGATAAGCCGATAAGTACGTTTCTTTGACCTTCGGGAAGAGTCAGGTGAAATTGCATAGTGCAGTGTGTCGAGTGTTAGGAAGGATTATATGCTATTGTGGAAAATGCGATTCTCTTTGGTGAGGTTATTTCCGTAAACTTCATTGACTTGCAAGTACTGTGCTAAAGTGTATTATAAGATCGTCTCAGCTTTTAGTATTAATTCTATGTATTGTTAGGAATTAGATAAGTGACATTTAACTTAATACTATTCTAATTTATTTATAAATACATATACTATCTCTAATTGTTTAAATGCAATTTTCATTTATATGTATATATATATGTTTAATTATTTATTATAAAATTTTTTAGATAACATGGATTCTCATAACTGGATTATTATCATTGGTATATGCCAAAGATGCAGAGAAAAGTAATTCTGATATCACGAAATTGGAGGTTGTAGAATTGAGTGAAGCAGAAGCTGATAGCGATTCAAAGGAATCAGACGTTCAAATAAAAAGGAATTCAGGATATTCGTATAATAAACCCAATACGAGATCCAGATTACAAAACGGTCAATCGGGGTATCGAGGAAGAATTGTTACGAGGATTCCAAGTCAAATAACTCGACCATTTAACAAATATGGTCCACCTAGTCAACAGAATTTAGGATTAAGTAGACCAAATGTTCAACAAAATCGAGATAAATTTCAAAATCATGGCCAATCTTCCTTAAATCGTTATCCGAATAATCAACAATCCAATAATTTCCAGAGTCATGGTAGTGGTTTATGGGATCAGGGTATACCAAGTCCTATAAGAAATTTTGATTTTGCTGAAGTAAGTCCTATTGCTAGTCAAAATAATGAACCATTTGGATCAAACACAGCTAATTATTTGCCACCTAGAAATCAAAAGTTACCAGCTTATTCAACAGCTGATACTTTTTCTCCTCAACAAGCATTGTCAACGTCGCAGAGTCAAAATAATAATTTTCAGAATCAAAATATTCCTCAATCACAAGGAAGTCAGATATCTGATGCTGCTTTATTTTTAACACAAAACGCACAAGCTTTAGAACAATTATACGGTGCTCCAGCAACGAGTCAAGATTTTGCGCCAAGTATTAATGATTATGTCGATCAAAATAATAATCAGATTCAAAATCCGAGTGGTCAATTTCAACAATTCGAGAATACCTCACCAAATCCTCAAATATTTCGAGGACCATTACCTTCTTACGCCTCGGGAACATTGAATTCTCAAGAGACACTTGAACAAATACAGTCGTTAGAAAAAGATAGATTGATTGCACAGCTGCAACAAGCATTGGCTCAATCCCAAGTCCAATCTTCTAATAATGAAGGTAGATACGCGCAAAATCATGGTAATTATCCTCAGAATCAGGATCTCTTGGGTTCAATTGGCACGGAATTTCCGCCGTTAGGTAAACCATGTATAAGTTCAAATACGATAAATCTTGGTAGAGGAAACCTGGTCTCCAATCAATTACCTTTTCTGTCAGGTACAACGACCGGTCCAATCAAATTCCCCTTAGGCTATGGCTTCACCACAACGACGACTCAATCACCGAGCACCAGCACGACAACGACAACCACAACTTCAACCGGACGTCCTGTTCCAACTAACAAAGATGACGGTACCACGCAAATCGGTGTAAACGTTCCTGTTCCGGGTCAACCAGGAACTGCAGTAGTACCTTCCCTTGGATTCCCTTTGTACGGCGGGTTCGTACCAACCTTCCTAGCAAATGTTCCTAGCTATGGAGTTTATGCTCCAGGAACAGTGACTTCGGTACAATCATCAGGATCATCATCAACTCACTTTGGAATACCTATTCCGACAGATCAAGGGCATAAAGGAATTCAACCTCAAACACCCCAGCTACCTCCAAAAACACCACAGTCAGCTAATCAACCTGGAGTCGTAACATCAACACCCGTTCAACCTGCACATCCAACTACTCCTTTACATCCTGTCGCTACACCAATTCAACCAGTCCTTCCAGCAACTCCAACCAACATTCAACCCTCCATAAGTTCGACACCGAGTCAACATCCAACTTATGGCCTACAAACACCTCTGATCAATCCTTTGATCTATAAACCAATAAAACCTGTCTATCCGGTCTATTATTATTCGAATTTAGCTTATCAATTACAAAAGCCAGCATTGCCAACTTATCCATGGAGTTATGCACCCTCGTACCTATCAACAAAACCGGCACAAATATGGAAATAAGGTGATACCGTTTCTTTAGAACGAAGCAGGACTCGTTCTCCCACGTAGTCGTGGCTTTTTTACTCTCTTGAATACGAAAGAAAGTTTCTAAGAGTTCGAAATACAGAGACTTTGAAAGCACTTCTCAAAAATGACGAGGAAGAAGAAGAAGAAGAAGAAAAAAAAGAAGAAAAGTTCGAATAGATAAGATTCAAATCTCAAGACGATCTGAAAGAATTATAATATTAATCTAACGAACGTAATTACCTAATTATTAAGTAGAACAATTAAGAGAGCTATTCAGATGACACTGTTATCGAAATCAGCTTCAAGTATCGATACACGATACACTTTCCTTTGGACTATCGAATGACGTTCGTTCTCTTTATGAACTCTCATGAATATTTCTTAACGTTAGATGCCTATGTACATACTATCACCCTTTATTTATTTCTTCAAATATATATTTCTTTATTTTTTTTCCTATTATCATATACTCATCCATTAGATATTATCCAAATCTATTATATAACAGTCCTAGAAAAACTATTATCTATGATCAAGTTAGAAAACTAGTTTGACGCAATTCTGACATATCAGGTTATTCATAAAACTCATACTGATATTTCTATTAATACACGCATTAATAAATAAGTAGAAACTTTTCAGGCAACTTGTTTAAAACTGTAAACAAAAAAAAGGTCATAGGAACAAAATTTGTAGGTAAAAAATGTTCAAAAAGAAATTTGAAAGAAATCTAAGTCGTAGCTTTGCATGATGGAAAGTCGTAAGTCGAGAAAATGTAGTGCGACCATTTCCGGTCGGTTGAACCAATCCGAAAGAGAGAAAACTCTCTTTTACCGTAGTCATGACGTGATTAACCGATACAATAATCGGCGTACAGTAAAACACGATCGACGCTGACTCGACACTCGATCCTGACCTCGAAAGTCGCTCGATAATTCTATCCACGGTCAATGCGCGAAAGGATTAGTGCTGAGTTATCCTAAGCATACATAATAAACCATTCGGTATTGGCGGGTGTATCCAAGATTGCTTATCGATTTCGTAATCTTTCAACGTGACTTCATGTAAGAGAAGATTCACGATTGATCCATTCATTTGATGAAGATAAATAATAAAGAATCTTCATTCATTGTGTCATAACATATTGTCTTCCGGTTATTGTATATAAGAAAGTAATATGTTTCCTAATAATAATTGAATTATAGTATTTGATGGTGTACTAATGAAATTGATTATCGATTTCATAATCTTTCATTGCATTCCATAGAAGATTCTTCATTACAAATCATTCGTTTGATAAAGATAATAAAGTTATCGTGTTTATTTAGTTTTTATTTATTATTGACTGTGTATTCTATGTATTTTATGCGTTTTATATTTTCCGTATTAATAATTCAAAATTTAGTAAGTTGATGATATCAAAATGTTAAGTAAGTATCACTGAATAAAATAAATCATATTACAATATTGGATTGACCAATAAATATTTTCGAAATTTTTATTGAAAACAAATATGTAAGATTTTTTTTTTAATAGAAGATACTTATATTATTTATTTAAATATAAAAATGAAAGTTAAAATTCTTTATTAGTCAATAAATTTGAATAAAGCTTTTATTTATATAGGTTTTTACTTTAAAATTTCTAATATAAAAAAAAAAAAGAAATGAAATAAATGCATTTAAAGTAAACTACCGTTATATAAATGATAGGACGATATTACCCGTTAACATAATTTTTTGGATGTCAAGTTGCAATGATGTTAAAGGTCGAGTTCATACCATATTTTAACATTTCTTATTAAAACCCGTCTTCAAACTCACTTTCTGTGGTGACCCGAATCCTCGGCCGGTTCTTTTTTTTTACTCAGATCATGTACTTTTACTGTTTCAATGGAAACCAGTTCGATACAAAGTTTTCCATCTACGTTATCCCTTTTTAAAACTCATCCTAAGAACCAACTTCTGATTTCTTATATTTTCTAACTCCTACAAACTACTACAATTTCACTTCTTTCTTGTTCTCATATTTACGATAATCGAAATCGAAATAAAACGAAATCGATCGACTAATCGGTCATCGATCGGATAGATTCGTGGAGATCGTAAAAGTGGTGCTTGATTGTAAATCCAACACGAACAAACGATATCCTTCCTTTATTCATTCGGTGAAAGTCAAACGAAATGAGTCATTTGTTTTCAGATAACTTAAAATGTTCCTTTGAATTGAGAAAACGATGAAGGGAATAAGGAATTGATCTGAGGATATAAATTCTCTTTGATTATTATCTGCCTCATAATTTATATATCTTTTGTGAATAATCTGAAATAAGAAGAATGATTGTTTTTTCATAAATTTTCTTTAACTATTATTTTCATTCTCATTTTATTCTAATTTTTTTATAATTTTTTTTTCAATAGTATGATAATATAAAAGTATCTATCTAAAGTATTATTTAAAAGATAGTTAAAGTGTAGATTATTATCGATTGTTATCTACATCATTATTTTTTATCTTGTATCTCGTGTGAATGTGTATATCCCACCTTTCTTCGACTCATCTTTCATTCTAATAACCCGTCCATCATAGTCTTCTTCTTCTTATTATTCTTCCTTTGATTCTTTCAATTGTATGCATTAATCGAAAGTAAAAAGTTCAGCAAGTACCAGAAGGTTTTTCTATTCGCCATCCAGACATTTCACTTTCCAACAGTCAGAAATCTACTTTCAGAAGATAGCGAGAGAGCAAAGAATGCGAGTAACATAAAAGAGAATCCTTTTACCATATCTTTAATACGATCTAATACATCGTAAATTTTACGAACCGGAGATGAGTTTGTTTATATTTTTTCTTTTTCTTTTTCAAAAAAGAAAAGAGAAAAACAAAAAAGAAAAAATAATAGAAATGAAAAACACTTGCATATTTCGTACGATATAGGATTATTAATAGCATTCATTAATCAGCTTCAAACGTGTAATTGAAATTTTTCCATCCATAAATGTCCATCGTTTGTTTGTTTGTTTATTTTAGTTTTTGTTATCAAACTTTTACGTTGATTAATCGAATAAACGTAAGATATCATTTAAACGTGGGAAACGAAGATTCATGCTATTTGAATTTGAATGATGATCCTTTTATATTACCTTCTTTCTTTCATTCTTTCTTCTTTATTTCTTTCCCTTTTTTAGTTTAGTTTAGGATTCACTTTATTATGGATAGCCGGAAATGAGCGTAATGACTTACCGAGGGAAATAAAAGCTGCTGGTTGCGATCGTAACGATTCCTACTTTGAACGAATTTGCATTCAATTACACTTTCTAGGCAATAATATACGACGATTCTATTTCAATTCTGTTCAACGTTCTCGTTATGAGAAAATTCAGTTTCCTCGAATGAGAGACGAATCTCTGAGATAGAATTTCCGATTCATTAAGTTACTTTATTGACATATAGATTTTCTATATATGTATATATACAAATATAGAATACATGTTGGTCCGATAAATTCGAAAAATTAGGAAATATATAATTAATATTATTTAATAATCATATCATCTTTATTCATTCAATCGATTTATTACAAATATTTATATACGATTATTATATAAATAAATAATCCTTTTTATTTCTAATAATTTTATTAAAATGTAAGAATAATTTCATTTTTGATTATATAACAAACTGTTGTACTTTACTATTAAAATATTAGAAATAATAAATTAATAATTGTAGGATCAATCAGTATATATTTTACCATAGTAATATTAATAAAATTATCTAATATAAATTAATAAATAAATAAATTCATATATTTGATTCATGAAAGATTCTGTCGATAAATATTTTTCCCGTAGAGAAAATTGGTTACAATCTTCATTGAGCATTTACAATTGCGTTACTAGGAAAGCTTTTACCGAATTCGAGATAAATTGTATTCATTTGATGAAAATATGAATTAAATATATATCTAAAAATCAGAGCACGAAGTTTTCCAAACGATTCTTATATTTTTCGAAGAATTTTCTCGAAAATTTGATAAGGTAACATAAAGTGGGTCGCATAAATGGTGATTTTATTCACTTCAAGGAAATCATCGGGATCCATCAATCTTCTGAATGTTCTACGTAATTACGTGCATGAAAGACGAGCGAAGTAAACTCGTCGTCGTTTAAAGAGCCTTCCGCATTTACAAACGTTTAACTCATGTAAAGAAACGTTACACGTTTGTACATAATACAATCTTTCATAATTAACAAGGGATCATTTAGAGTATCATATTTTTTTCTTTTCATAAAATTTCTATGATGTAAGATAAAAGAGTTCAAAAAAAAAAAACAAAAAAGAAAATAATATGCAATTGAAATATATAATAATATAATTCTTTCTAATACCTAAATGACTATGCTAAAAAAAATCTCGTTACGTAAATTAAAATACCATTTTGTAACGATTTAAATTAGTCTTTTGTTTAGTGGATTTGTAAAGACGGATAAGGAAATGTAAGTTTTTTTCTTTTTTTTTTTTTTTTTTCTTGCAAGTCACAGTACGAAATTTCCGGCTGACATCGAAGGGATCAGGAAGGATCAACCTTTTCCTTGTTTCGACGTCAATTCGCATTTAAGATGATTAGAAATCTTTTTCCTGTGATCGAAATAAAACAATCAACGATAAGGATCAGTTAAGTAAAATGACTTTTACCTGGCACGAAAGAATTGTAAGCTCCAGTTTCTTTTTTTTTTCTTTTTCTATTTCTTTTTCTTTTTCGTTTTTCTTTTTCTTTTTCTTTTTCTTTTTTCACGACTTAAGTGAGTTTATTCTTTCGCTAGGACACTATCACATTGAAAGCATCACAAACGACGATTCTCCTGCTCCTCCGAATCAGCACGGAGAGACTTACCTTCACCTAGACCTTTCTTTCTCTCGTACGAGAGGGGATCCACATATAAAAGGTCTCTACTGGGTTGGTATGCCATCAGAAAGCACATTTCACTTAACCACTCAGTAGTCGTCTGATCACGAGAAATAGTTACAAGAATATCAACTTAAATAGTGACATGCGTACTTTCGTAAGTATCCATTTAAAAAATTTTTTTCATTGTTCGAGTATCGCGAAATGTAAAGAAAAATCTTCTCACAATTATCATTAATAAATTTCATTTAAAACGTAACACATTTATCCTAATTAAACATTAAAATACTATTGAACGTTAAATGTAATATTTAATTATTATTAATAATAATTTTTTATTTATGTTCAGATACTTTTGGGGCTATTTGCTGTAGCCTTTGCAAATGTCTCCAATAGAGAAACAAGAGGTGAGAAACCTCAAAGACCACACCGAGCACCGTTAAAGGGTAAACGTGGAGTTAGCGACTATCCCTTGGGATATTCATCCGGGGGTCATTCGTATTCCTCACCTGTATATTCAGCAGTTGGATCTGGGTATAATCTAGGTGGATCATCAGGATCTATTTCTCTTGGACATTCTGGTCTACATAGTTTACAGAGTTTAGGCGGTGGACATGGTTTAGGATATTCCAATTCTGGATTAGGATCTTCATTGGGATATGGAATGTCTTTGGGTTCTGGTCTGGGTCATGGTGGAAGTCTTCAAGGTCTCTCAAGTCACAACTCTTATTCCTTACCGACCATTAGTTTAGGATCAAACGGAGGTTCCAGTGAAGGACTCTTCTCTCCTGTATCAAAGAACGGTCCGGTTACGTTTGGAACTCATGGAGGTAGTAATTTGATTAGTGGTGGATCTGCTTCGAATACTTACTATGAATATACTTATACTTTAGGAGGTCAAGGATTGTCAGCTTATGGAAGTGGATCGAGCGGAGTTTCCAGTTTGCCTTTATCATTGTCATCTTCCCATGGCTCTTCTTCTTCATACAGTCTACCCAGCGTAACCTATCAATCATCCGGTGGTTCTTCCGGATACACCATTCCAGCAAGTTCTTCATCTCACTCAGTATCCGGAGGACTGGTTCTAGCTTCAGGATCGTCTCATGGAGGTTCATCATCCGGTTATACGCTTCCAATATCATCAGGATCTTCTCATGGACTTTCTCTAAGCAGCCTATCTTCCGGTTCCCATGGTGGATCTTCTGGATATAATCTTCCAATAAGTTCAGGATCTCATGGTCTTTCCAGTTTGTCCAGCAATTCAGGTGGCCTATCCGGTTACTCTTTAACTCCTGTATCCGCTTCATACAGCGCACCTAATTCTCACGTAAGCTTATCCATCGGTTCCTCCGACGGATCTTCCTATTCTCTCCCAGTATCATCCGGATCTCACTCAGCATCAGGATCTTCTAGTTCTGGGTCATATTCCAGTGCCGGTTATTCTCCAGTATCTTCCGATGGTAATTCCTATTCTTCCAGTGGAAGTTCTAGTTACTCCAGTCCAAGTTCCAGTTATTCAAGCCCTAGCAGTAGTTACTCCAGTCCTAGTTCCGGTTACTCCAGCCCCAGTTCCAGTTACTCGAGTCCTAGTTCCAGTTACTCTAGTCCCAGTTCCAGTTACTCGAGTCCCAGTTCCAGTTATTCCAGTCCTAGTTCCAGTTACTCCAGTCCTAGTTCCAGTTATTCTGCAGTTTCCGGTGGTTATGCCTCAAGTTATCCAAGTCCTTCTAATTCTTATGGTCCCCCATCGGAATCCCATGGATCCTATTCACATTTGAATCCTAGATTTATCAGTTATCCAGCTTCCAAAGCATACGAAGCATTAGCTTCTGGTAGCTCAAAATATGATACAATTTCTTATTCGAGTCCCAATGGAAAATATTAATCAATCCTAGAATAAAACTTATCTATATATACATATAGATACATATCTTTTAGTATAATTTAATTAGATCCAACGAGAGATCTCAATCGACCCCTAACTGTTGTATCTTGCCAGAGATCTGTTAGTCGAATTTAATCTTACATCTCGATCACGAAAAGATAATCTTGATGCAGGTCAACCGTCTAATATGTTAATACTTACGGACGACCCAAGGATTGCGACTAAATTGTTACTTTATTTATAATATTTGTATTTACTTAATAGTTTTATTTAATATGTAAATCTCCGTCTTTTTTACTTTTATTTATAATATCGTTTATGTGACACATCGAACGCATATTTTACATGTACAACGTCGACTTTATGATCCTTGTTGCATATAGTTCTTTTTTATATAAACATATACGTTTTTTTTCGTAATAAATGTAGTTCCTTGAAAAAAAAAAAAATATCTAAGGAGTGGTTGTTCGTTTGTCGTCATCGTGAAAGTTAATGTGTACTTTTGTTTTTTATTATTTTTAATTTTTTCTTTTTTGTTTTAACAACATGTATAATGATGCCAAGATATTCGAAGGATGATAATAAAAATAATGAGAGAGTAAGAACGAAAAAAGAAAAAAGAAAAAAAAAGGTCATCCGTTTCTCGTGAAAACGAGATCGCTTTTACTTCAAGGCCGTGTCTAAAGTGGCCTTTCTAAATCTTTATTTTATTTTGGAAAGCCGATAGTTAGATATAATAGTTATTATACTATCAGTAAAAAGAAGTTCACCTAATTTCGAAAGACGGTATTATCGTGACTCTGGGGATAGTAAAATCGAAAGTTCGATAAATTTAATCTACAATTAAAATATCAAGGATTTTGAATAATAACGTATCAAGTAAGATCACAATGAAAAATAATAATCTAATGGTCTTATTGATAGTGAAAAGTAATAAAGTGAATAAATAAATAAAAAAATACAAATAACTACTAAATTTGTGTTTGTGCTATGACAAATTTCTAGAATTTAATTTCCTAAGAGAGACGGTAGTTTCGAATTCACATTAAGTCGAATTACTTATTGATTTATGGCAACTACCCTAAGAGATTTGACCCTGGAAAAAAGGAAAGGGAAAAGATAGGAAACCTAGAGACTTTGTAGATAGAAGGAAATAAACTCCGATGATAAGTCAGATTTAAGTTGTCTGGAAGCGAGAGGTGAAAATGAAAAATTCATGTCTTCTGCTATTCGGTGAAAATGATCGAACGAGATTATATAGAAACTGGCATTCTCGTACTATATTATTTATTTATTTTTTTTCAATGAATAATTTTATTTCTGCATGATCGCTCTATAAAAATATAAAAAGATAAAATATTTCATATTTTCTATGCGAGACTGGACCAAGTTGCTATCTAAGTGATTAGTTATCGTTTGGTTTTGTATTTTCAATACCTTTCGTATTTTCTCTCGATAAATTATGTTGCCATAACTATAATCCTCTTCATTAATAAGCGTTTAAAATAATATCACTTTATCTTATACATATGAACATATAAGATTCTCGAGTTAATTAGCAATATTTTATCTAGGTGAGTCTCGAGGATATAAATGTTTAAAGCGAATACACTTTCCTTCTCTTTCATTTCCAAGAGTTTCCAATAAAAAAAGAAAGACAAAAAAGGGGATCAACGTTTATAGACATTTTTTTTTAAATCAATACGTTTAATATCCGTTCCCATTCGTCATTATTATTTCGATTTCGTAGAAATAACATTTAATTTCCACGACATAAAATAAAATAAAGTAAACTTAACATTAGTTTGTCACTTGGGTTATATTAAACGTGAACTTTTAAACGTCATATACGTTACTTTGAGTATGCACCTGACCCAGTTTTTAAACATGCTCACGTACGAGTATAAAGTAAAATATACTGTGACAGGAAAGAGAAAGAGAAACCAAGCGAAACGTAGACGAGAGCCTAAGGCTTTTAAGAAGCCTTAGGCTATCAGTGTCGTGTTTCTGTTGTGATCGGTCATCCATTAGACGTATACTGTGCTTTACTTTTACACCATAGTTAGATGTGCACTCTATCCTAGCGACGTAAAAAGAAAACTTGATTTCTTAGTTCAAGTATATATAAAATAAAAAAAAAGGCAACATTGTTAGACAGAAACATTTCACTTATTTCCCGAAGTGACACACATACTTGTACACGGTTCACTCTCACGAGCGTTGACCATCTAAAAGAGGGAAAATTTTCCTCTTACTTCTAAACGTGCTACGTTAGATCAAGGCGTGATCGACAACAGGATCCTCGATCTAAACTTTTCATTAACATGAGTCACACCGCAACTTTCTTTCTAGTAAATGGACACTATTATTCTAAGAATGATGAATCCGTTCTTTTAATTATTTACTTAAGTTCCAGTTCGAAGAATCAATATTAAAATCATATATGAAATAATAAATACTTTATTAAAAATAAGGTTTATAGTTAAAAATAATGAATCATGATATTAAAGAGAACGAATTAGAAGTGTGCGTGGGTGTTTTCGAAAGGATCAACTAGCGAAGAAAAATACGCGTTCTCTATCGATCGGCTTCTATAATTCTCTTTCTAAAGAGAGAAGGTGTGGTCGGTAGCTTCCGGTAATGATTCGCCATATAAAAAAAATAAAAGGAAAAAAGAATATAAAAAAACGAAGAAAAAAAAGTGAAAAATAACAAGAGAAAGAGAAAGACGACGCACTTGCAGGTGAAAGTAAAGCAGACCGAGACACTTTGAAAGCCGATCTTGTGAGTAAGGAACTGGAAAGGTTTCTTCTTCAAGAGAAAGAAAGAAAGAAAGAAAGAAAGAAAGAAATAAAAAAAGGAAAGATAGAGTCCACTCTCGAAGGACAATCTCTTCAACTTCCTCGATTCACGATTTCTTTTCAATTCTTCTTCGGATTGATCATCATCTTCCTTTTTCTTTTTCTTCTTTTTCTCAAGTCCAAACACTCTTCCCTCTTCTCCTCTAACCAAACCCTTTTATTTTTTTTTTCTTTGGAACAGTGGGGTCATTCGTCGTTGACTAACTTAACGTTCGCGTGTTTTACGATAAACTAGCCTTTTAACCCTTCTTCACTTTATCATCCCGTCCTTCTCTCTCTCTCTCTCTCTCTCTCTCTCTCCTCTTCCTTTCACCCTCTTTTAAAGTCTATTCCATTCTTTTGCAAAATGTTACGTTTACGGTATAGTAATTATGAGACGTTTTTTTTTTCTTTTTAAAACGAAAACAATTCTCAGGAAGAATCGTGTCTTCCGTAAAAGAAAGCTTTCACGTGATACACTCTTCTTTTCTTTCCTTCTCTTTTTCTCTATTTATTTCTTTCTTTCCGTCACGTTTCCTCTCGATTTGCTGAGCCAGATCAACGAGCTCAAAACAAGCACACGTGACTCGCGAACGATTTGTCCCCCCTGGCCACGAGGACGAGTTCCTTCGAGCTTGATTCCCCCCCCCCCTTTTCTCCTTACCACAATCCCACAGCCACTTCCACCCAACTCTGACTTACCACTCTCCCCTCCCCCTTCTCCCTTTCCCGCGGTCTCATTTGTTTCTTCTTTTTTCATCCTTCCTTTTCTTCTTCTTATCCCAGGTACGCTTATCGGGACAAGTATCCGATTTATATTTTCACTCTACCTGGAATGGGGCGTGTGCGTTTCTTTAAGTATATGTGTGTGTGTATGTTTGTGTGTATAAATTTAATACGTATCACATATAAGAGCAGAGAAAAGTTAAACTAGTTTTTGGTATTTTTCAAGCGTACGGGTATAAAGGAGAAATTCAATGTCTATCGATCTGTCATTAGTCGTCGAACTCTCGTGCTGATCTCAATCCTATAATATAGAAAGGTGTGGGTAAATAAGGGTTGATTTAATAGACCGAAAGATCATTGGATGATCTTTTATCGTATAGAAGAGATCTTACTATATATCGAGGTGTTTTTTGTTTATTTTATCGATTGTCTTTTATATTGACTGTTGTTATAGACACTTTTGCTATCATGGGATTACTGGTTGGTATTTTTATGTCTTTCATCAAAAAAAAATTCTTGTCACATTTTGTTCCTAAATTTTTCCAATTGTTTATACGAATTTGTAATTTTTATACGATCTGTGTATGTGTTATTTTTTTTTTTTAAATTGGGGCCAAGTTTTGCTATATAAAATTTTAAGATCACACAAAATTATAGATTTTATTTTGATGACTTTCAAATTTAAATAATATTATTTGTAACACTTGTTATATTTAATCGAATAAATAAAATATTATGAATTTATTATTTTTTTTTTTAAATCAAATCTTTAAACAAATTGATTCAATTTTGGGATTATAGAGGGTTGTTAAATTTCTGTATAACTTGACCCAATTAAGGCTTTCCGTAATCAATTCGTTAAAATTTCGATTTTATTCTATTTCTTGTGTTTAATTAGAGTAGGAAAAAAGAAGAAAAAAACACAAAAAAAAAACAAAAAATCTATTATATTAACATTGATACTTTTTGTTCTCAGATACTCTTGTTATTTTCGTTGGCATTTGGGCAGAGCCATCAAAAAAGCAACGATCCAAACAACGAGCCCTTTTTACCAATATTCCCAGTATACCCTTACAATCCTAAATTAATGAAAAGGGGAGTTGACAAAGAAACGGAAACACAATTGAGTGCGGAACTGTATGCACCGAAAGTGGATGCTAGAGATTCTTATACGCCAAACTACAGTAGTAATTATCAAAGAGATCCTTATTATCCAAATTACGATCCTTATCCGAAAACCACATTCTCGTCATCATCATCATCTTCCTCATCTTATTCCCCTTATTATACTAATAATCCTCAGACAACAACTGCTTCCTATTCAACATTACCTTATAACGTTTACAATACTTATACAAATCCCTACGCTTCTTCTACGTCGCATTCTTCAATCCCATCAACAGCTTATACAACCTCACCCTATTCCACCACTGCTTATCCACCTTCTTATACCTCTAATCCTTACACTGCTGGTCCATCAGCTTATCAAGCACCACCATACGTACCTGTTTCAAGTTACTATTACCAACAACCTTATTATTATCCTTCTTATTATTCTCCAGCTCTTTATCCACCCCCACCACCACCACCACCATTTCCCCATCCTGATTACTCTAAGGACTCTGGTTCGGATAATAAGGAAAGCTATGAAAAGGATTCAAATAAGAGTAAGAAATCTAAATCTAAAAACGAGGATAAAAATCAGGACTCTTCTGATAACGAATACGTAGATAATGGAAATTATATTTCTACCAATTCCAAAGATCTTGATAGTCAATCCAGTAGTTACAAAGCTGCCAGTTCATACAATCAATTGGAACAAACGAACAACGATGCTCGAGAACAAAATTCTGGATCTGGAGCGTACAAAATAATCAAACTTAGCACACAACCTAGTGATACTGAATATTCTATTGCAGCAACTTATGCTAAAACTCAGCAATTGGAACAATTGATGAGACAAACCTTAGCTAAATTATTAGCTGAAAATGCAGCAAGGCACGTTATTCGATATCCCACTTATGATACAAAACAAAATTTGCTGCTTAAAGCGAACGAAGTTTCTTATGGTGGTTTGGGCGATTACGATACCAGGAATACTCAGACGTTTGTTACTGCGTCCAATCCAATCGTTAAGAATGGTTTAAGTTATGCCATTAATTCTAACAATCTTGGAAATATTAATTCAGGATCAATTCTTCCTCGCTCAATATATCAAAATCCTTTAACAAGAAGTGTCAAATATTCTGAAGATCAGTATAATCGTAAACCTATAACCGTGGTGACTTTACAACAATCTCAAGGAAGTTATATTCCACCAAATAAATCCGTCAAAGCACAAGTCTCTACACAATCGTCCAGTTACGATGGATACGAGAACGAAGATAAACTAGCCAATCATAATTATGATAGTACTTTGAACAGCGATACAAAACAAGAACAAGATTATGATCAGGGTCAAACAACAACTTCTTATAAAAATCAAAATTATGTTACCGTACAAACACCACAATCGTACAGCTATCAATATGCTAGTTATCATCCTCAACAAACAACGAATCAACAAGGAAGTCAAGAATACGATGATGGAACGACTGATGGTGAATTTGGTGCGAAACAAAATAACAAAGGGTAATCATTATTTTCTTACTTTTCAATTTAAGATTCTAAATCTTAAGAAAATTATTTTAAAAGTTAGTTTAAAGCGAGTACAAAACAATGTATTATCGTTTGTGGATACAAAATCGTTTTTATTTTTCTTGGATATTTTTATACGAAAAAAGAAATTCTTGTGTAAAAAGATTTTACTGGTTTAGAAGAAAGTCAGAAGTAATTTTAACTTTCTTTATAGATTATTTATCAAATCTTATTAATAATTTAATGAATGAACACATGATTAACATACGTTTAGGTATAAATCATTTACTATATCGATTTTTTTCCCCTATTATTGTTGGTTGTAGAGATTTATTAATGTGACTATAGTGTTCTTCCGAGAGAAACTAGTTTTTTGTATTTAATTAAATGAAACGAGGCTTGTGTCATTCACATAGGTTTATATTGATAAAAATGAATGATTTATGAAATTGTCTTTAAAAAATAATCGATTATTATATATCGGTAGAGGCTTATTTGAGACTGCATTTTTAGATTCGCGTTTTACGTTGACCTATGACCGACTGTTATTCCTATTTATGTACCTTCGATGTTTGTTGATTTATGTATAAGTTTTGTTTTTATTTTATAGTCATTAGTAATAAATCATTTGTTACCATTTTCGTTGTTTCTTTCGTTCCTTTTTTTTTGTTTTTCTTTTAGTCATGATTATATGACCATTTTATTTCGTTCCTTTTTAATTCAATAATCAGATTACTCGGCAATAAAATTAGGTAAGCATTGTAATTAAATTACTTGTCTGAGCTTGGATGAGAATATTTTTCAGATGAAGGGTACTTGAATTTTTATACAAAGTATGTAACAAATTTTGGAATCAAATTATTTTTAAGATTAACTTTTATAAATAATATTTAGCCTGACAATTTGGAAAACTTTTATTAAAATAATTGTTTATTCTAAAATGAAGTAATTATTTTTGGAATAAAAATTTTTGGTGCTACATTTGAAAAGATTTAAATATTAGAAATTAAAAAATAATATTAGAAATTACTTATAAGACATACAGAAATAAACTTTAATAAATATGAATATTTTCTAATATGTTTAAAATGTCTTGCTATAAAATTAATATTACATTATGAAAGGTCAAAGGTAAGATTAGAAATGTTGATATTAATAAAAACAAAAATATAAAATATAATAACTTAACATCTACAAGTGAGAGTAGTCATGGTAAAGTAGAAAGAAGAAGAAAGGAAGAGATCTGGATCAAAGGAGTTGATCGTTAATTCGCATGGGTGCGGCATAGTATAACAGAAGAATATGGAAAGGGGAAGTGAGACCGTTGTAAACCGTTCCGGTAGAATGTGTAGATCATCTAGAACGTATATTAGATTGTACATATATCCTGGTAGGCAGGTGAGTGAGAACGCCAGCCTTTCCTTCGTTATGTTGAACATTTTTTCTTCTTCCTTTATTTTCTGCACATTTTCAAGTGGAGCGAGTTTAACCTACCGGTAGGTTTTAAATAAAGTTGGATGGACCAAGCCTCTTACTTTCTCGGCTACTGCTATGTTGAACCTGATCTCGATCTCATGCAAACGTCTCCGCATATAGGGTGTTCCTACTTTTACGCGCGATGATTAATTAAATTCTGACAATTAAAATCAGAAAAAAAGTGTTCTACAAATTTGAACTGCAAATTTTACCAGCATCTATTCTCACAAAATTCTATATTATAAAAGTTATTTTTAATTCAGAACATCTCAGCAAGTAAAAATCTAGTTTTTTAATTCACATAATCAAAGAAAAAAAAAATAAAATAAAATACTCGAATATATTTTTATTATATTTTTATTTTAAAAAGAATAATTTTGTATAAAATATTTTTTCAGTCTAAAATTTTACCTGCATTTACATTTTCTATAATTTTATTAATATAATATTTTAGAATTGTTATATAAAAAATAAAAAATAAATGTTAGAACACCCTGTATGTAGGCAACCAACTCGAAAGCTTCTTTACCAGTTATTATTCCTACCTATTTACGAAAAGAACCAACCAAGAGACGTTGAATGGACCCAACAGATCCTGTTGGTTGTTCGTTACGATCGAATCGGAGAAAGTGAAAAGTTCTTCCGAAGTATCAAGCCGTGAATTTCTTTTGTATGCGTAAGGACCATCGACGAACTCTTAACACGAGGAAATAGTATGCTTCAGTTCGCTATCGTTTAACGAACCTTTTAACGGATACTATATATATATATATTACATCCCATATATGATTAATATCAGAATATGTAAATCACAACTAGCTAACTATTATTCATTTTTGTTTCTTTCGTAAAAATATTTTGTACCTTTTTATATGTCTTCTCATATTTATGAAACGTTTTACCAATCGATATCTGTTGACTTTTTTGCGATTTTTGTTTATTTCATTCAAAAATTTTCAAAGCTTTATAATACAAGTTTTTTTTTTGATCGACAGATCGATTGAACGATTCAAAACTCTGTGTATTTGTTTGGTTTATTTTACCATTATAACTATTATTCTACATTTGTATATTTAATAGAAAATCATTGTGTTATGATTTTATTAATTTTTGGAGCATTGAAATATTTGGTTATATTTTTTTAAAACAAAAATATATAAATGTTGTTCAATAAAAGCTTCAATAGTTATGGAAATAACTATGAAAGTTAGAATATTCATGCAAACTATAATCAGAATATTATTTCTATTTTAGTTCTATAAAATAAAAAAATATGGAAATAATTAAATAAAAGCTTTTATGGTTCTAGAAAATTATTTTTTCGTCTAATATAAGATTTTTCCTTACATCGAAGAAAACATTTGTAAAAATCAAAGTATTTTTTAGATTCTTTTATGGTTTGAAAAATCATGTAAATAGTTCGATTAAATGTCAAACTTTTTATGTATTCCTTTTCTTTTTTGTTCCTTTCTTAATGATATTATTTTTTAAAAAGACAGTAATCTGGAAAAGTGAAAAGTTCGCGATCATTTCTAAAGTTCTTCCATTTTTGTACGTTACTCTAATGTACGGTAAAGATTCGAGAAAGTTTCCGTGATTAATCGATGCTAATTTGGAACGTTGCGATCCATATGGAAGATTCTTAACACACACACCCATAATTCTGAGGTAGAAAGTAGAGGGTCGGTTTTGAATTTATTGATTTCCCCTATATCTTTGCCCCAAGGCTTTTCTTACCTAACAAATAAAAGAAAACAAAATAAAGAAAAAAGAATGAAAAAAAAATCTAAATCTTTTATGGGGAGAGGGTTCATCGATTTATTTCCTTTACGCAGGTCCGAAAATAATCATTTTGACCGTCACCATAGAGAGTGGTATTCCGATCGCGAGGCCTCCTTTCCTTCATACCTTTCTTTTACCTTTCATTTCGCACCTCTATAGAAGTACAACTATTGATTTTTTATCTGACACAAGAAGACAAGCATTTTCTTTATTCCATTTCTTCAAAGATTTCAGTTAAAACTTGACAGACTTTAACTTTCAAATCGTGTCAATGTTAACAGTTCCGCACTGATTATTTGTCTATGTCACGATCACGTTGAAATGATTATTTGCCTAATACCAGTATTATTATTATTATGATAATGCATATATGTATTATTTCTAACGTTTTGATTATATCATTTCAAGTACGATATCTACTTTTAATTAAACATTAATTTTTTCATTTACATTCAATTAAGTTTTATAAATAAATAAAAAATTAAGTTACTTTCAAATTTTCATTTAAAAACTATAGATATATAATTTATTTATGTAAATAATTTTTTTTGTAAAAGAAGTAATAACTTTTGTTTTATACTGCAAGAATTAATATTAAATTTGACATTCGTTTAAAATTTAATTATAATGTTAAACTATTGAAATGTTATTTTCTAGAAAGATTAAATAATTAACGGAGATCACGCATGGACGTTTATTATAAGAAAAGTATTAATAATATCGTAAAACAATGAGATATCTTTTACTATTGTTTAAAGAAAGTAGATATCGACTTGTTCGGTCTATTTCATTCAATACGACACGAAATTACTCAGAATTGTATTATTGGAATAGTAATTTTCGACAAAACACATAATGGGATATTTCCATGATATAAAATTACATATAGACAAATTACATATAAAAACATACAAATTAGAGGTATATATATCTTAAATAAAATAAAATTACTAAGAAATCGAAAACCTCTTTTTATCATTCTTATTTCAATGTATTTATAGCATAAATAAATGTAATCAAAGTAACATTTAATTTAGTAATACGTACATGTATACATATATATAATACTTATCGAAATTAGCGAATAAAGCATGGAAATACCGGTACTCATCTAATTACCAAGTTAATGAACTAAATAGCTCTAGAAGAATAATTAGAATAGTTTTATACGGTAAAAGACATTTTAAGTACGATTTAAACGAAGATTATGTCAAAGAATAAAAAACAAAAAAAATATTAATTCGTTAGTTTAAAGTCGATTTGTTACATTGATCACTGTTTCATATAATTAAAAAGAATAAAAATAAAAAAATAAAAATATACTATGGTATAAAATCGGCATAAGATTGTAAAACGATCGCGTGTTGGTAATCGTTTTGACCGTACTTCTTCCGTGCTCACGGAATAATTACAGATGATTCTAAAATCTCGAATTTTCGTTCTAACTTTACATAATTGTATTTTATTATTATTATATGCTCTGATTTTACTAAGATAAATTATCGAAATTAGATTCAGAGAAGAGGAGATCGCGAAAGTGAGAGATGTTGTTGGGTATCGTTATGAAAACGATCTTATTCAATCTCCTTTCTATTTCTTTTTCGTGTGTGTCTCACTAATCCTGTTATTTTATTCCAACCTGATATTCATTTCTACATATAGATATATATACATTATATATTAACTCGAGAAGAAATAATACATATATTTTTATTATGTTCCATACTAAATTTATTCATGAAAATATTGAAAGCGAAATTTATTGGCTTAAATAAAAGGAAGAAAAAAAAAAAGAAAAGGTATAATTTTAATCTCCTTTCGATTTGA